TTTCAGAAAGTCTTTGATAAGGTCCCTCACCAAAGGCTCTTAAGCAAAGTAAGCTGCCATGGGATAAGAGGGAAGGTCCTCTCATGGATTGATAATTGGTTAAAAGATAGGAAACAAAGGGTAGGAATAAATGGTCAGTTTTCAGAATGGAGAGAGGTAAATAGTGGTGTCCCCCAGAGTTCTGTACTGGGCCCAGTCCTATTCAATATATTCATAAATGATCTGGAAAAAGGGGTAAACAGTGAGGTGGCAAAACTTGCAGATGATACAAAACTACTCAAAATAGTTAAGTCCAAAGCAGACTGTGAAGAATTACAAAGGGACCTCACAAACCTGGGTGACTGGGTAACAAGATGGCAGATGAAATTCAATGTTGATAAATGCAAAGTAATGCACATTGGAAAACATAATCCCAACTATACATATAAAATGATGAGGTCTAAATAGCTGTTACCACTCAAGAGAGAGATCTTGGAGTCATTGTGGATAGCTCTCTGGAAACATCCACTCAATGTGCAGCGGCAGTCAAAAAAGCTAACAGAATGTTGGGAATGATTCAGAAAGGGATAGATAATAAGACAGAAAAATATCATATTGCCTCTATATAAATCCATGGTACGCCCACATCTTGAATATTGTGTGCAGATGTGGTCACCCCATCTCAAAAAAGATATATTGGAATTGGAAAAGGTTCAGAAAAGGGCAACAAAAATGATTAGGAGTATGGAACAGCTTCCATATGAGGAGAGATTAATAAGTTTGGGACTTTTCAGCTTGGAAAAGAGACAACTAAGGGGAGATGTGATGGAGGTCTGTAAAATCATGACTGCTGTGAAGAAAGTAAATAAGGAAGTATTATTTACTTCTTCTCATAACACAAGAACTAGGGGTCACCACATGAAATTAATAGGCAGCAGGTTTAAAACAAACAAAAGGAAGTATTTTTTCACACTATGCACAGTCAACCTGTGGAACTCCTTGCTAGAGGATGTTGTGAAGGCCAAGACTATAACAAGGTTCAAAAAAGAACTAGGTAAGTTCATGGAGGATAGATCCATCAATGGCTGTTAGCCAGGATGGGCAGGGATAGTGTCCCTAGCCTCTGTTTGCCAGAAGCTCTCTATCACAACAATCTGCAATCCACTCTATTGAAAATGGAAGCCCCTCTCCCCCCTCCAAAGGCAGCAGGTCACGTCAGCATTAACCCATTCTGTTCTGATCACCCATCTGCAAGTATGCTATCAGAGAAGCCTCTTGGGTTTGCAATGGAGAGTGAACCAATCAAGCCTTTTGCAAAGCGAGCTGCTTCCTGGTAATGTGCAGGGTGGGCAGTAAAGTTTTCCCACTGTACCATGTTCCTAGGGCTAGAGAGGCCACATTTTGGGCAGGGGTGGTGGGAGGGCACTAGGGACTCTGGGATATGGTTACTTTGACTCGGGTCTGCATACTGCTGTGTGGACACCAGAGCCCTAGGTTCAAGCATGGGTCAGAAAATTCTTAACCTAGGGTTAAAAATACAGTGTAGATGCTCAAACCCAGGGTTCCCTAATATGGGTCAGCTGACTCGAGTCCCACTAACCCTGGTCTTACATTGCCATAGAGACATACACAGAGTGTCACAGCTAAATATAAGGTGGAACAGATTGTTTAGCAAAAGTAGACACATATTCCGTCTAGCAAAGTTATGAATTTAAGCTCACAGACTCATCTTTTGAAAATGTGCAGGTTTCATTTGAGGATGACGACTGAAAGGTCAGATATAGAGTGAACGCTTTGTGAATAATGTTCCACCACAGGACAGTGATAAGGTGTTTTTGTCTTTTATCATTTTCCTGTGTGAGTTCATTCGCGTATGTAGCGACTATCTGATTTTACCCACATAGTTTTTATTGGGGGCATTTAAAGCACCGGATGAGGCACACCACATGTTGTGACAGGCATGTATAAGACCCATGGATCATGAAACATGTGTTGTGGGGATCATTGATCATTCTAGCAGTGGAGATATGTCCGTAGGAGCAACAGATGCAAAACCCACCGAACACCTGCAATATACCTTCACAAGGCAAACGCGGGAGCTTAAATTCATAACTTTGTCAGACACTAAAAATCATGGTCTTAAGACACTGGATTTATGGCCATTACAACAATCTGTAACCCAAAAACAACAAGGAGTCTGGTGGCACCTTAAAGACTAACAGATTTATTTGGGAACAAGCTTTCGTGGGTAAAAAACCACTTCTTCAGATGCATGGAGTGAAAATTACAAATGGAGGTATTATATACTGACACATGAAAAGAAGGGAGTTACCTCACAAGTGGAGAACCAGTGTTGACAGGGCCAATTCGATCAGAGTGGATGTAGTCCACTCCCAATAATTGATGAGGAGGTGTCAATTCCAGGAGAGGCAAAGCTGCTTTTGTAGTGAGCCAGCCACTCCCGGTCCCTATTCAAGCCCAAATTAATGATGTTAAATTTGCAAATGAATTTTAGTTCTGCAGTTTCTCTTTGAAGTCTGTTTCTGAAGTTTTTTTGTTCAAGTATGGCTACTTTTAAATCTGTTATAGAATGTCCAGGAAGATTGAAGTGTTTTCCTACTGGCTTTTGTATGTTACCATTCCTGATGTCCGATTTGTGTTCATTTATTCTTTTACATAGAAATCTGTAACCCACTAACCCCCGTTTTTATCCTATAACTACAGGGGTGTTAATGGGCCACTTCACCTTGAATAGTCCCTTAGGTATGTGTTAACTACTTATGCTAAACAGTCTGTTCCACCTCTGAGTGCCTTTTCCAGACCCGAGGAAGAGCTCTGTGTAGCTCAAAAGCTTGTCGCTTTCACCAACAGAAGTTGGTCCAATAAAAGATATTACTTCACCCTCCACCTTGTCTCACATAAAGACTTTGCCATTGTCAATAAGATGTTCCTTTCTTCAGGAAGGAGGGGTTGAAAAGCCCTAATGTATCTTCAGTCTAATCATTGCCCCATGCTGCTGATCAGATCGGGGACTGTGTGCCAGACACACAAGGCCGAGGGGGAATGTAATCAATCCAGTTGCTTTCATGCACAAAAGCAGAGAGGTTGCATTTGGCACTTGCTTCTGGCTGGCATTGCTACTGTTTTACGTGGGATATGTTCCCTGTACACATTCCCCTCCAGGCCTAAGAGTTTCATGTCGTTATATGGTAAAGACCATAAGAAGCTTTATCTGATTAAGGAGCTGAAGTCTCTTATGTAAGGATGAGTGAGTGGAGCTTTTCCTTCCCCTAGGTGACCCTACCAAAGCACTCACCTGGCACTTCTCACCCCAAGCTACTAACCTGTGCTTGGAGGCCAGTGAATACCACATAGAGGGGGATGTGTGTCAGGCTCACAGAGCTCTTTATCCTAGATCCTGTTTACAGACACAGATAAGTTTATTAGTAAATAGTATCAGGGAGCCTGGGCTGTCTGAGGATAGCCCCAGGACCAGCTAATTCCAAGGCTCCTTAGAGCAGGGGTGGGCAAACTACGGCAAACCACGCGGCCCAGCCCCGCTCCGGTGCTCCGGCCGAGGTGCAGGGTCTGGGGCCACACCGCGGGGCTTGGCCCCGCTCCGGCTGGGTCGGGGGCCGCACCACGCGGCTTGGTCCCACTCCAGCTGGGGCGCTGGGTTGGGGGCCGCACCACACGGCTTGGCCCCGCTACGGCGCTCCAGCTGGGGCACAGAGTCGGGGGCTGCACCACGCGGCTCCCGGAAACCACGGAATGGACCCGCTCTGTCTCCTACGTGTTCCAATGGGAGCTGCAGGGGTGGTGCCTGCGGATGGAGTAGCATGCAGAGCCGCCCGGCTGCACCTCTGCATAGGAGCCGGAGAAGGGACATGCCACTGCTTCCAGGAGCTGCTTGAGGTAAGTGCCGCTTGGAACCTGCATCTCTGAGCCTCTCCCCACGTCCCAACTCCCTGCCCCAGCCCTGATCCCTACCGCTCTCCAAACCCCTCGATCCCAGCCCAGAGCACCCTCCTGCACCCCAAAGCTCTCATACCCAGCCCCACCCCAGAGCCGGCACCCCCCCCGCACCCCAACGCCAATTTTGCGAACATTCATGGCCCTCCATACAATATCTATTTCCCGATCTGGCCCTCGGGCCAAAACATTTGCCCACCCCTGCCTTAAGTTGAGGTCCTTTACATGTCCCCACTCCACACACCCATGACCCCCAGCTTGTTCCACAAGCCCCAGATCAATGAACACAAACATCATAACCATTTTTGCCAGTATACATAACCTGACACTGATGGATTTGTACCGCTCCCTACACCCCACAACTGCTGGGGAGAAGGAAACCTCCCGACTTCCTCAGCCACCTGGGCTGCCCTGAAATAGGGGCAGGGGCAAAGAGTAGAAACCCTGCTTGAGGCACCAGCCCTCAGCATGCCCCAGGATGGGGCAGGGAGGGGATGGGAAGA